GTGGCAGGCAGAGATAAATTAATGGCAATCAACAATAAGACTTCAACTTTCTAATGAACTTGGTGGAGTGCGCCTTCTATTTTTAACTGGCCCAATTTCTCGGTCACATCACATGACTCCCATTGTCTTGGCTGAGAATTATGAGAAACAGAGAGAGGAGCAAGAGAAATTGGGCCATATTTTTTAGTTCAGCGAGGTGATAAACCCTCTAGTTGCATGTGTATTTTCTCTTTCATTTGCAATTTGGTTAAGTAACTTTAGAGAAAAATAATGCCTTCTTACGACATCGGTGCTCTATTTAAAGAAATGAAGAGCTATCAAACGATCTTGTCGGGGCCATATATAAAGTCCTAAACTAAACAGGGAGTTGCTTTGGAGACTATGTCAATATTCCAGGTTCATTTAGCTCCAGGGGTTCCAAGAACTATTCTGGTTTGGTGATGGGGCCTATCTTAAGTTTTTATGATTCATGTAATATTTCACCTCATATTGGGCAACACTATATAGGGTAGTAAAAGACTGCCTTAAGCTTGGAATGAAACTATACTCTGCCTTTCTTGACCAGCGTGGTGTGGGCAACTCTTACCATGTAGATGTGTTCCCTGCATACTATGTCGTCCCCTCAGTCTCGAACTATGACATCCTCCAGGGCAACCATCAACATCTTAAAGACAAGAGGTAACTCAGAACTCATCGTCTCCGAGGAGGGGGGTGGGGAGATCCTTGTTTCTCATCTGTTACATATGAAAGAAAGCAGAGTGGTTCCTTAAGACTCATCAGTTTCAACATTTCAGCTTAACTACACAGGCTCCAAATTATCCAAGTTCAGAGCACCCTAAAAATTTGAAATCGGAATGCCCTTGTTAGGAAGTTGGGTATTTATTAAGAATCTGCATCTTCAGCAGTAGAACCCTAATTCTAAGTCTACTATGGGTAAGTCCATGATTCCCAAACTGTGTGCTGAGGTACCCTGAGGCCCACGGCAAAGTCGTGGGAGCACTGAGGAATATTTTGTAGCCTGGAGCAATACCTGACAACCATTAAACATCACATAAACCATGATCTCGTGGTTGTTCCTTCTTGCAGCATTAGACTGTGTTACATTCCTTTCCACGACATCATATCCTTCCTTGCCAAGTGGGTTTTGGGGGTTCAATGATACCAAGCATATGAAGTGTGAAAATCAGTGTGAAACAGGAAATGAAGAGGGTGGTGTCCAGTCAAATGCCAGGATCTAAGAAACTGTAGCACCCAACAGGTTCACAGGGCTCACACATCCTGTTAGCGGTAGCTATTTAAGGATGAAACAGGGGTGCCTGGGTGTTCAGTCAGTTAAGCCTCTGACTTTGGTTCATGATCTCAGGGTCCTGGGATTGAGCTCCACGTTGGACTCTGCACTCAGCAGCAAATCTACTTGAAGATTCTCTCTCCCTCTCTCTGCCCCTCCTCCTGTGCTCACTCGTGTTTCTCTCTCTCTTTCTCTTTTTCTCAGGCAAATAAAATCTTTAAAAATAAATGAAATAAAGATGATTCTTTTTCTTTCAATTTATGGGTATTGTTACTATTATTAAATGGCTACTAATACAGTAAGAGATACATAATTATTAAGTTGTTGGATATAACTACTTAATGAACAGAACTATTAGGTATTTCCTTTGGTCTAGTGCCACCAGGAGCCAACACAGTTTAGGAGACCCACAATCTAGGGTACAAACTTAGAGATGGCCATTCAGCTTTTTACTAATAAAACAATATAAAAATATAATGGAAAGGATTATGAATATGGTGATAGGTCCTATTTTCCCCCCAAAAGCCTACAGCAATATTTCCAGTCCCATTCTGATTTTTTTAAGAACCTTGCCTCTCCTCTCATTAAAAGGTTGAGATTAATCTCGCTTCTCTTTTGAACATGAGTCAGGTTTAATGACTCCCCTCTAACAAATGCTACGGAGTACAATGTGCAGAAGCCCTGTGTCACTCTTATGACCAGGTCAAAAAGGTGGTGTGGCTTCAGCCTGCCTCTCTTTCCAGATGCTCACCCTGGGAACCCACCCACCATGCTATGAGGGAGTCCAAACAGCCCACGTGTCAAGTCCACAGGAAGAAGCCCACATGGAAACTGAGACTGCCACTAGACAACAGCAAGCATCAACTGCCCCCTACTTATTCAAGTCTTGATCAAACAAGCCTTCAGATGATTCCAGCCCCAACCTTTGAGTCTGGTAGCTAAGACCCTAGACATCATAGAGCATAGAGACCATAGAGCAAAAACAAGCCATCCCCTCTGTGCCCTAATAGAATTCCTGACCCAGAGATGAGTGAGCACAATAAATGGTTGTTTTAAGCCTGTGAAATTTTGGGCACCTCGTCATGCAGCATTAGACAACCCATGTAAGTATGACAGATATTTATGAGACACCTCTCCAGCCCAGGAACTATTGGCTTCCCCACGCTCTTCTCTAGAACTCTCTCCATATGCATTCACCCCAGCCACATAACTGTAGGGAGGACACCCCCTACACTTCTGGCCACAGAGGATTAGGTGAGGAGCAACAACCTCACCAAACTGGGCCGACCCAAGTGCCGTCTCAGGAATGTGGAACCGACTGGGTCTCCTAATGAATAACTTCAGGAACTTGGGGGGAGCCATCTTGCATGCCACATAGACTGACAAGCAGAGAAAAAGAAAGAACTAGACACACAGAGGAAAAGTAGAGGTGAAGGAAAGAGAAAGTAGGCCCCCGGGGTCTCGGAAGGACTTGCCATTCTAGAACCCAGTCCTTCCTGAGGCTCCAGAGAGCAACCACCAAGCCATTTCTTTAAAAATAAATTCCCCCTGTTTTGCTTACATTTGCTCAGGTTGGTTTCTGCAGCCTCAGGGTATTTTTCACGTCTACCCAGCACTTTCCAGCCCACTGAGCCTCTTTATATGGATGATCTCATACGATCCTGACCAGAACTCTGTTAAGATGTATGTCATTACCTCTATCACTGAGAAGAAGAAACAGAGGTCCAGAGACAGCAACACGAGCAAGGTTCACAGGCAGAAGCAGATGCTAAACCAGAACTAGAAATTGTCCTCTGTCTCCAAACGCCAAGGTCTGTTTCAGAGACATTTCTTCCTCCTGCTCTATAGAAGTGGGGAGGTGACACCCGCTTTGTCCCCAGAAACTAGCCGTATGTCCATAGCCTTTTCCTGCTGCTACATCAGACTCAGGGAGGTCCTGCATCTAGGCCCGTCCCTGTGAGACCAGACCCTCAGCCCAGAATACGGTGCCCAGCACCCAGTGCCCAGCAAGCTCAGTACCCAGAAGAAGCCCAACCAGTGGGCCCTGTGGGCCCTCTGGACAAGAGACTCCTCGGGCCTGAGGTGGCTGGAGAGGCTGCCCAAAAGAAATGGCATTGGAAGGTTGGGAGGGCTTGGAGAAGTAGAAGGGTGAGGGAGATCATGCTCCACAATCGCTGTTTTCTCCCAAGGATCTTCTTGGGTTCTTTGGGAACAAGAAATCTGAGCTTTTCAAACCTCAAGGCCTACAAGTCTCCCTGAGAAAGTCTAGTGAAGAAAACATCTGGTCCAGCCTCCAAGCAATACCTGAGACCCCCTCTGCCAAAGCCCAGCAATGCTCTACTCTCCTGTTCTCTTGAACAAGAGGCAAGAGGCCGGAGGACATGGACAGGGCATGAGCACTGAAAAATCTGGGTTCAAGACTTGATTATTGGGTCTTGAACCAATAATCAAGGGTTCAAAACTTGATTATTGGGGTCCCATAGCCCCACCGGTCCCTAAATACATCCCTTACTATGTCTAAACCTCGGTTTCTTCAACTCTCGTCTTCCACTGAGATGGTGTTCAGCTCAGAGAAAAGGTAGGCAAAGTGCCCAACGTCAGGGCCGAGTCACAGTAGATGCTTGATCAAGTCTAACATTTAAATGATCTCGTCTGACAGCCCATCCGACCTTGGTTCTGTTCGAATGGTTAGAAAGGCTCTCTTCTATGTGGATGAGCTGAGTCCTGTCTGCCCGGAATGCCCACCGCTGACCTTGCCCTTGCCTCCAGGGCTCCCAGAAGAAGGACAACTCCGAGGCCCCCAACATTCCTGCAGACACCACTGCTTCCTGCCTCTGCCCTCAGCCTGGGCCCTTCCCTGCTCCCCACAGTCAGATTTTTGAAGCTGCAGAGGGCCCGTGTGTTCCTGGGGAGACTGCGCACACTGCCAGCCTTGTTTGCCTGGAAACTTCTCTCTGAGTGGCTCAGCAACTTCCGTCAATACAGCCCTCAGATAAGATGCTGCAACTCAGAAGGGCTGGCTCCAGAAAAATCGGCTAACATTGAATCATACGCCCTGCCCTAACGTCCTCCAAAAAGGCAATTTCAGATTTCTCCATCCTTCTACCCCCCCACCCTTCTCTCCCATGCATGGCCTCCCCACTGCACAAACAGAAGCCAAAGGGAAAGGTCCAATTATTCCATGGAGATTTAGCGACCGTATTGATAAAACTCAGCGTTAATTCCCAGAAAGCATTCAAGCCCTGGGGGGGGGGGGGGGGAGGTGGGGGGTGTGCAGGGAGAGCCTGCTGGATAACTGGGTGAGAGTGGTAGCTGCTTTTCAGCCGAATCTGACCTAGTTTAATGAAATCAGGTCATCTGTGAGCTCTTCATTACCCTCAGACTAAACAGGACCCAACAGAGCAGCCAATGTCCCTGGCCTTTCTGAATTCTGCTCATTCGCATTATGACATTTTGATGTTGGGTCTTAATGCGTGTTGACTTAGTGGCTGGGCCCCTGCAAAGGTAGTAAACAGCCTGGGTGAAGGCCGGAGAGTAAACAAGAAGGCTGCTGTTAAAAGCACACACGCGCACACACACACACACACACACACTCACACACAAAGGCAGTGTAAATACCCAGGTCCCCAGCCTGCATCCTCAGGGAAGCCAGCAGACAAAAGGCGTCATGAGTGTCGGTGACTATTATCGCTGATGGACGGCCGGGACTCACCTATTATCCTGCCGCCTCTTGAGATGGAAGTCGCGGTTTCAGCAGATCTTCGGGGCAGGGGGTGGGCCGGAGGGAAATGAAATTGTCAGGATCGGGGTGGTGTATTGGATTCAAGGGCAAATTGCTCCCCGGCAACAACTGCGGAGGACTGGGACCGTCACTCCTCTTGAGACTGTCCCGTGGGCCGCTGATGGCTTTATTTCATCTGCCGTCCTGATCTGCATTTTCCGGAAACCGAAGCCTGTGGTCTGGGAGACTGCAAATGAACCCTTTCCTCTCGGTGGATGCTCATTAATGGCATGACTATTTACGGAAGTAAATGATATGTGTGAGTTCCCTGTCCCTATCAGGATCGTCACAGACTGTCAACCTCAGAAAGGGCAGGATGCTCCATCCGTAACCCACACACGACAGACAAACGCTTCAGTACAGAGGTGGCCCAAGGACTGAGGGTTTGGGGTGTGGTCACATTTTTAACAGGAGATAAGGCTGACAAGCACTGACTGGCGTGGGCAGACAGCCAAGGGGGGTGGGGATGCAGAAGGAGGATTCTCGCATATCCTGGGGAGTCTCCAAAGTCTAGTGCTGGGTGGGGTTGAGAGTCTCACATTGTGATGAACTGGATCTGGCTTTGGCTTCACCCTGGGGTGCTGCCTTCTACCTACTGAGCACCAGCTCATGGTGGGGAAACGCCATCCCCTCCTCCTCCCTCCTGAAGGCTACCCTTCAAGGAAACACTCCTTGCCAGTTATCACATTTACACACTCAGCCCCTGTTGAAACTTGCAGACTCACAATGTTACCTGGAAGAAGGAAAATAATGTGACCTAGGGGTGACCCGGGGCAAGGGGTGTTACTGCTCTGGGCTTTAGTTTTTCCATGCATTCATTGAAGAGGCTCCATCATATGATTTTGAAGGGCTTTCTATGAAGTTCATTCTGATTTTAAGCCAATCTCTGCCTCAGTCCCCAGGTCACCATCCTCTTCTTCAGAGCAGATATGCCCCCACAGAAACCATCTCTGTGGTCCTCTGGGATCCACCACTGACCTTGACTTCCTTAATCCCAGGCAGGGACACTGACCTGCTTCCTCCCAGCCCTTCCATTTTATAGCAGTGCTTGGCCTGGATCTATTGTTTCCTTTAATGATTAGTTGACTTGGTCGGAACAGAGCAGAAAACCAGTTTCCTACCCAAAGGCAAGGGACTACAAGCTGGTCTATTCCATGAGTCTCCAGGGCTGAGGGGATGAAAGGAATTGAATCTGCCTCTATGCCTGGCATGACAACCAGAGTTTGACTGCTGAGAGAAGCAAGATCCTGCCAGCAGAATGACAGTTGAGATTCTGGCTTTAACTCGTCGGTACTATCTAATCGGGAAAGTGGCAGGATCGGGTTTCCTGTTTTATTGGCATTCGATAATGTATATTGAGTGACCATGTCTGCAGTGAGGCAATTGGTTTAAAAGGGGGTTATAAGGATTGACTTGTATTTAAGTGCTTAGAATTCCAGAATGGTAATTATCTCGATGTGCATCCTAATTTATAGGAACTCCAAAGAGCTCAACAGCATATAAATTTGAGCCTGTCTAAATGAGTCTCTGAGAGAACATGTACAATGAGAGAGCCAAGAAACATACTGCCCAGAGAAAGGCTAGAGAAGTTTTAGTTCAATGGCTCTCAAACATTTAACCACAGAATTTTGTTTTTGAGATAAAAGTTTACATGAAAATGAATACATAAAACAGACCCAAGGGTACCAGCTTAGGTAGAAGCAAAGGAAGGACCCAGAGCCCTCCTCCTTTTCCCTATTTTAGTCCCCTGCCCAAGCCACCAAGGCTCAAGGTATCCATGGAACTTCTGGGGCTATGAGGAATGTGTTTTGAGAAGCAATGCCCTACTCTAAGTTACTCTGTTTGTAGATAAGGACCCCAAGGTCTAGAAAGATGAAACAAATTGTCAAAATCAGAGTGCAAGTCAGAGACAGAAGAGGAAGTAGATTTCCGGGTCTCTGAGTGACACTCACTTACCATTACATTAAGTGCCCACTTAAAAAGGGGGGGGGGCAGCCAAGGTGGCTCAGCAGTTTAGCACTGCCTTTAGCTCAGGGTGTGATCCTGGAGACCCGGTATTGAGTCCCACGTCAGGCTCCCTGCATGGAGCCTGCTTCTCCCTCTGCCTGTGTCTCTGCCTCTCTCTCTCTCCTCTCTGTGTTTCTCATGAATAAATAAATAAAATCTTTAAAAAAAAAAGATTTTATTTACTCATTTGAGAGAGAGAGAGGGAGAGAGAGTGTGTGTGAGAGAAAGTATGAGCAGGAGGGAGGGGTAGAAGGAGAAAGAGAGAGGGGGAGAAGGAGAAGCAGACTTCCTGCTGAGCAGAGAGCCCAATGTGGCACTCAGTCCCAGGACCCTGGGATCATGACCCCAGCTGAAGGCAGACACTTAACCAACTGAGCCACCCAGGTGTCCCTAAGTGTCCACTTTTTTTTTTTAAAGATTTTATTTATTTATTCATGAAAGAAAGAGGCAGAGACACAAGCAGAGGGAGAAGCAGGCTCCAAGCAGGGAGCCCGATGCGGAACTCGATCCCAGGACTCCAGGATCGTACCCCAGGCCGAGGGCAGGCCCTAAACCACTGAGCCACTCAGGGATCCCAAGTGTCCACTTTTTAATGCCGCCCCAACTGATCTCCATAATCCACTCACATTCAGAAGTTAATTTTAAAAGTTCCCTTTCCAGAATTTTCTTTTTTCCCTTTCCAGAATTTAAACAAAGTTTTCGCCATGATAGGATTAAAAGGCATAATGTTGTAGTGGAAAGACAGCTATCCTGGAGGTAAGAAGGTGTGGTACATTGCCTTAAATAAGTTATTTTCCTTTCTAGAAACTATCATCTTCATCTGGGAGAGGCTAAACCCAGTGACTTCTAGGTTCATACATATTTTAAAGCTAAATATCAGGGATTTAGATCCCCAAGGTCATCTCTTCTGTATTTGATGATTCCTTTGACTTAGACAACATAGCAAAAACAGAAAAATTCAATAGAAAATTCAGAAAATAAAGTTATGGAACCTTTGAATTTTATTTTTATATATAACAAAGAATTGGAAAATAGGACAGAAAATTGAAGTGTTGTGATCATTCCAGGGTATTCAACATTTGACTGATGCTATTTACAGAAAGGACAGAGAGGAGAAAATTATTGCAGACATAATTACTTTTAAAAAAATGTCCTAGAAGGGATGGGCATAAGCTCCAGTATTGAAAGTATACCATAAAAAAAAATAGAGAGAGAGAGAGCAAGACAAAATATACACAGTAAGTTACCTCAGTGTAAAGCTTCAAAATACTGGGATAAAGAAAGATCTTAAAACTCCCATTAGCTAAAGAGGAAAAAAAATCCAAAGGTTTGGGGGGTCAGAATGGCATCAGACTTCTCAATAGCAGCATAGAATATTAGAAAAAAGAGAGACAATGCTTTCATATTTCTGGGAGAAAGTGATTTTCAACATAGAACTCTATACCCAGCCCAACTAGCTAAATAATATAAAAATGGAATGAAAGAAATGTTTTGTTATGCAAGAACTCAAAAATTTTACAGCCCATACACCATTTCTTAGGAAGCTGGCATGGGTTATGCTACATCAAAACAAGGGATTAAACAACAGAATGGATCAGTAGGTAATTGACTAAAGAGAGAGAGAAAGAGAGAGAGGTGATAGATCAGTTGAACAAACAAGTAGGAGAAGAATAGCCAACACAAAAAGGCAGCCATGATAAGTCATATGTCCCTGACAAAATAGGGTAGGGTGTGCTGGGACTTACCTCGTTTATTTCTTCCTAAATGCCCACCATGGGTTGGCTGTGGCTCTGCTCCATGTCATCTTTGCTCCAGATCTGACTTCATGGGGCATCCTCTATCTGAAATGTTGACAGCCATCATGGCAGGGGATAGCAGAGGCCATAGCAAACCATACTTTGGCTTTAAAATTTCTTTTCAGAAGTGACACACACACATACCACTCCTACTCACATTTCATTGGCCAAAGCAGGTTACAGGACTAAGCCCGATATCAATGGGACTCAGAGACCTCATCTTCTTCAGGAAGGGACAGTGAATATGTTTTGTTTTGTTTTTTTTTTCAGTGAATATGTTTTAACATGCAGTCTACTACATCCTAGGATGACAGCTATGTATCAGGCCTAAAAAGCAGTCTACAGTGGACCACAGGACAAAGAGCAATGAGAGTGGTCTAGAGGTTCTAGAAGGAAAACACGACTGATAGATGGTCTGTTTTATATAAGCATTTGCAAAACACTCTTAGTAAACCTTAATGATTAAAAAAAAAATAAAAATATGGACATAGTCTTAAGCAGGGAATTACTAACTCCAGAAGAAAACAAACAAACAAAAAATACTGTATTGAAAGAGAAGAGCATCCATCATGCACTGCTTGGCTCTTCAGTGAGCAACATTTTCATAGTAAAAATGTAAATACCAACTATTGATTTAACTACAGATTACAAAGTAATTATATTGGGAGGGTAGAAAGAGAGGAAGTGAAGGGCATGGTTATAAGAGATTTAAATCCTCAACTCTACTAAAGTAACCCGAAGGTTAAATATATTCTTCCTGGATTCTGATTCTGTAGTATCTCACTCTGGATGTGCTCCATCAGGAATCAGTAACGCATAGTAATCAACCAGAGGTGTGCTGGCGGTCAATATGGATAATGCCTAGCATTAATAAATTTTAAAATAGCAATATAAGCACATAGAAAATGGAAATAAATCATGTAAAAACCAACATAAAGTGTTGAAACTGGTCGCTTTTAAGGAGCAAAGTCAGGAAATGAGGAGCAGAGCAAGGGGTATTCATTGCTGTTAAAACAATGCACATTTGACTCTAACAAAAATACAAATAAAATACAAAAATAAAATATGGCATGCTACCTGCCATTCTGATTCATTTTTGAAGTCACCAGGGTATAGATCATAAATAAATAATAAAATATTTATACTTCAATGATTAATTTTCAAGGCATCCAGACATAATAAATTGAACCTGACATTATAACCATCCGGGCAGTAATGCAATCTTTCTTTGATGATTCAGGAGGCACTTTAAGGACCTGGCAATGACCTCAGGTCATTTCTCTGAGCATCCTTCCTCATTCTTTCTTAATTTGTTAGTCTTGTAGGAATTGATCTCATCT